TACCGGTACGCTTTGTTCTAACATGTTATTAGGCTATTGGACTCCCTTTTGCAAGTTAAGCAGAAGTTAGTTGAGTCGTGTCTGGGGTCTTTGTTTGTGTTACTTTTTCGCATAATCTTGCCAGGCTATTCAGTTTTTAATCTCTCGAAACATACAGGTACATCCGTACAGCTAAGATATTACGTTTGATTTGAAAATGTATTATTTTCAGTTGAAGGTATATGTGAGAATCTCCCAGCCGGCTCGATAAGGATCAAGTTCATGGTAACCCAACTGCCCGGCCGCAGTAACGATGCCTATACTGGTTGGAGTGAAGAAGACAGCTTGACAGTCGAGGAAGTGGACATGAGAGGCAACACAAGTAACTGAGAATCCGTTCTCTTCAATTTTCACCTGAACACGGTGTAGTTACTTAAACGTTCCGTGATAAACCGGGGTCACAGATTGATTTTTTTCCTCTAGATTTTTTTATTTTTTATTTTGAAAACTTATCAGTCCTTTTAATATACACGTTTCAGTACAATATAACAATACTGTTTCATTGAAGAAAATCGAAAGCGGTCGAGGCAAGATCGCGTGGACAAAGCTGTTCTGCTTTGTGTATAATTTTTTCAGACAAGTGCGCAAACTCGTATGAGAGAGAGAGAGAGAGTTCAGTCTGTTATGTTTGTGTTTTGGAAATAAATATAACTAAACTATTTTCTTTATAGCACCATGCGCTCACTTGAATACACTCAATGTTAAACAACATTCCATTGAATCAATGGCAGATGAAACTAACAACGGGACCTTGAATGCTACGGTAAGCCTGTTACTATTCTATTTACAGGTAAAGAGGTTTTAGAAAAGAATACCTGAACCGAAATTGTGTGAGAGATAAATATAGTATTATAATTATATATTTGGTCATAGACCGCCCACTTTTTACTTGCTTTTGCCCATTAAATTGAAGAAAAAAATGGTCAGTACGTTTTCATGACAAGATTTTATGACTCGTTGCATTTGCCTTTCTAAATTTTATTGCTCTTTTAGCTTGGCTGGTGTGACAACCGTACAATTTGATTATAGAGAAATCAATTTTCCTTTATTCTCATGATCTTAACTTCTAGTTGGCGGCTTAGGGTTCATTCGCAATCTTTCTATCGATCCGACTCCGACCCAGTTGAATACTTCCCCACGGGGAATCTATTCAATGTCTTTTAGCTTTTTGGGTGGGTCGCCATATTTGACCCGCGGACTAGTTAGTCCACTGTTCTGAAGGCAGCCTTATATACCAGAAGTTCTCTGACTGTTCAGTGTACCTCAGTTGTACATATATTTTTTAATATAGAATATATAATATTCAATTATTTATGCCACGTTTTTCTATGTTAAGGTGTTTACGTTCACTAAAGAGGCCCACTGATACAGCAATTAGACTTCGATGGATAGGTTCTCTTTTTGGCAAGAAGAGCGCAGAAGGACCCGCCTGCTTAAGGTTTTTCTTCACCATCAACGGAAAAGAATGTCGCCGTTCCGGACCGATAGATGGCGCAATGGCTTGGCTGGAGGATACCAATTCTAACACTGAGATGCAAATTACTAAAATTAGTAAGAATTTTCTTTTCTTTTCATTTCGCCCCCCCCCCCCCCAATTGTTTTTTAAATAGTGTCATGTGCTAAAACTTTTGCTGGGTACTGCAGGACAAACTAATTGACCGCAGCCCACTACTTTTTATTGAAAATATAATTCCTTAAGTTATGCGAGTTAGAAGAGTTTGGACAATCTTGTAAATGTTGATGACACTCAAAAATATTTATTTTAAAAAGAAGAGTTTGGACGATCTTGTAAATGTTGATGACACTCAAAAATATTTTTTTAAAAAAGAAGAGTTTGGACGATCTTGTAAATGTTGATGACAGTCAAAAATATTTTTTTAAAAGAAAATATGTTCTGATAAGCAATTCTCTCATTTAAGTTGAGGGTATATGCGAAAACCTGCTCGCGGGATCGCACCAGATAGCCCTGAACACCGGGGACTGCCTTCACGGGGACTACCAGCGCATGGAAGCCAAGACAGGGGACATGGGAACCTCCAGGATTATAGTAGAAGAAATTAGGCTGAGAAGGCAACAGGGAACACGAGGTTGTTTCCTTAAAAAAGCTTATTAATTTCATCGTCACCCCCACTCATCTGTCTACCTACCCATCCAACACTCACCATACACTCAAAATAGACTTGTTGGTAACTTGAGGATTTCGCTTATGTATAATACTGTGCTTATGTTGAAGGAGATAAATTCACCCAGTTTAGAGTCCGGTTTTTAGGCCAATTTCCAATGCCAGATAAAAGTATATGGGGGTCCTCGTTATTTGTCTTATTCTAAAGATCTGCATATAAACATAAAGATAAGAACAAGTATACATGTAATTTTTAACGCTTAATATTTCAGCTCCCAATTCCGTATTCAACATTCGCTACTGGAACTGGTACAATCTGAACATCACAGGAGATGGGGAAATCGTGGTAAGTACTGGACCTTTCAGAAATGAGTTAGTGCGAACTTAACCTAGCTATAGTGCGCGCTAATTCCACGGGGACTCTCGCTGCATGCAATCAGATTAACAGACTATCGCCTACTTTTGTTTTCAACACACTCGTATAGTCACCAGGTTCTGTACATTCTTCTCAACGTCAGGAGGAGGCGTGTTGGTCAGTGAATCTGATTGCATTCAGCAAGAGTCCCAGGGGAGGCGGTAGGCACAAGTTAGTAAACGCCCCATAGGCCTATACCATAATTTTAATCACATATCTAGCTAACACTTCTCTCACAACGATCGAAATTTTAATTTTAAGTAATATTTTTTCCAAATAGATTTTGGTCGTCTTTAGTAAGTATTTTGAACAGTGATTTGCTGTTATGCGAGCTTTATACCTATGTTTGGTCAGGGAATGATATCGTCGATATAACGATATAATTCCCTGGTTTGGTCTAATGCCCGTATACTAATACTAAGCTGAATCTGCGAAAATAGTCCGCATAGAGCGTTAAATCTCATTTTGGGACACACATACACACACACACACACACACACACACACAGAGAGAGAGAGAGAGAGAGAGAGAGAGAGAACAGTTGACTGGATGTTAAAAAGTTTGACTGTTTTTATTCACTTTGAATTGAGTAATAAGTAATTATTTCATCTCTCCTCAGCGCGTTATTTACCCAAAGATGTCGGCCTCTAGTGGATTACGACTTTACATGAACGGTGTGGCTATGACGTCTACGTAAGTCTTCTAATACAGAAATCTTCTTTACGAATTTCAAGTAGTAAATGATAACGATATCACTTTTACAAGTAAAAGATAATAACCAAAATAAATGTTTATTTCGTAACGAAGTCCTCTAATACATTTGAAATGGTTTGACAGAAATGGTGGCACTTGCGCGAAGTGGAAATTTCTGTACAATGGTGGAGCTTGCCCAGAAGCGAACCACGATATCAATGGTCTATACTTACAGGCTCACACCTATCAACACATGATGCCTATTTCAGGTTGGTCTAGTCTTTTAATGTGCGACGTCTTGGCCATTAATAATAATAGCGCGCACGTACGAGAGAGCTGACCTTTATATTCGTCCGAACGTTGCGTCTTACTAAAACTGCAGAGTCATTCTTTCGCTGTTTTCTAAAATTTACTGATTAAAATTCGGTTAAATATACATTAACCTAAGAATTGACATTTCAATATATCGTCATTGAAATAAATTGAAATAACACGTGTTCTGGTTTCAGTGAGCGGTATCTGTAGAGGTCTGGGTGCGGGCAACCTAGCCATTACTTTAGATTGCGAGAGCTGTGCCAATAGACAAATCATAAATCCCGTGACTGGGTGGGAGACGACTCTCTCCGTGACCGCGGAGGAGGTGGAGCTGGCTTAGGCTCACTTTGGACACATATTTCGCGCTCAAGTCTTTCCGTACTTTTAATTTCAACGTAACTTAAATCAAATAGTTTTAATCATTTTTTCCTTGTCTTATACTTGCGTGTAAAATTATAATATTAACTGAGTTTTAGTCTCCTTAGAATGAATATTATTATAATCAGTATTAATACTGAGCCTGGCGAAATGAGGCTACATGTACCGAAAGAAGCATTTTATCATTTAAATTTGGGTGTCTCGTTAATTTCACGGTTTATTTAAAGGCCTAGACTTGTTCTTTTAGCCTGTGGACTGCGTTTTGATATAGAAAAAAGTTATCAAGTTGCATTGGTAACGATATTCCTACCTTCACAACGTATTTTTCGGTTTGGAAATTGACCTCTCTCGATTTGATTTCATTGACATGTATTTATATCGTTGTAACTGTGATATATTTTGTATTAAAATGTGTATATTACTATCTCAATAACTATTAATCAATCGATATCGGCCAATAGGAAAATAAAAGGCCTCCGAATCTCAGGGGCCACGCTTCAACGCTGCCTTATCTTATCGCTGTCAGCAAATCAAGTGCGTTATCTTTATCAGTCACATACTTTGAACCTAACCTTTCGCTGAGTGTGTCAAAATGTTACAGCAGCACTGACAAATCAACCCAAGCACAAACATGGCAGTTCCTGAACGTGACATAGATTTTATTGCGACATACTCGGCAGGATGGCGAAAACCACGTTCCAAACCGTCTTCTCGATACCACAGTAGCTCCGAGTATCCCCCGTCGCTTACGTCATCAGCGGGGACGACGCGGAAGAAACGACACGTTCTCGAATTCAAGGCGTCGTCCGAGCTCGATCAAAGCGAAGTGAAACTAACTGGTGTCACGGTGTCCCCAAATGGTGACATTGCTGTCGTGGACAGCGGGAATAAAACCGTGAAACTGTTTACAGAAAAGGGCAAGTATAAAAGGGAGTTCGGACAGGACGTGCAATTCGAAGAAAAACCCCTGGGCCTCCATCAGAGCGCAAACGGCGTGGGAAGTGACGACGATCCAGACAATGTCTTTGACTCTGAGGTAGATAGTGACCGAGGCTTCTCTAACACAATCGGTGGCTCATCCAACACAATCAGGTGCAAGGTGCCTGGTTCTCTGCTCCGGGGGCCGTGGGATATTGCCACACTGCAGGACGGTGATTTTGCTGTCACAGACATTAAAGAATCGTGCCTGAAAATTTTCACTCCTGAGGGGCATTTTGTACGGCGGTTAGGCCAAGGGTGAGAATATTTTTTATATTTTCTTTTTTATCGGATCTTAGAACAAAGCGTTTCAAAAACTGCATGGTGAGCAATTTCTGCATTGCGTTCACCAAATATATTACACAGTACACTAGTACTTAATGGGACGGAGAATTATAATTTTATAGAAATCAACAAATCCTATGTCACTTTAGTGCGTTTTTCATCAATTCCAGTAACCTTGCCTATCCACGAGGTGTAGCAATGGACAAACGCGGATGTTTCGTCGTCACCGACTGTCCGCCCACCAGGGGTCAGCAGCGCATACGCGTGTTCACCCCTGATGGGCAATGCGTCAAGGTATTACCGGCTCGTAAAGGCATGACCCTACCATTCGCTCGTCCAATGTATCTGACAACGGAATCCCACAACGCCAGGACCATCGTCTCTGATATGTGGTCCAACACAATCCAAGTGCTGAACTCGACGGGACACGAGGCGTTCAGATACGGGGGGTTTGGCAACGGAGAGGAACAGTTGATGGCTCCGCACGGAATCTGTAGTGACGGGCTTGGGCGAATCTTCATCGCCGATCATCTGAATCATAGGATCTGCATGGTGAAGTTAGACGAACAAGAGGGAACTTTCTTGAACTACCTGGCCACCAAATCTGACGGTCTTCGCCTGCCGACAGCTTTAGCGTTTTCACCAACTACAGGGCATCTCGTTGTAACTGAACTAGAAGGAATGGTTAAAATATTTTAGAGAGAATAGAAAAAGAAAAACAAATTAAAAGTGAATCAATTGAATTTGATGGGATAGAACTATTTGGAGCACTTTGAATTCTGTCAAATATCAGCGAAAAAGTAAATAAAAGGAACCCAGCATATACTGTATTTACAAATTTTCACACACACAGACCCGAATACATGTAGTAAAAAAACTGAAAAAGGACGCTTATTTATAATGATAATTAATATTAAATTGTTATATGTTATTCTTCATCATCATTGTCATAGCAATTTAGATAAAGTGTTTTGGTAGGCCTATTACTTTAATTTTTTATAGAGTTAAATCCAGTCCATTGAAAGATAATAAAGGGAAGATCAGAAACACTATAATATGTCTAATACAAGTGCAGGGATGGGTTGAGCAATTCAGGGGCGGATCCAGGGGGGGGGGGGGTCAGGCCCCCCTGACACCCAATAAAAATCCGCCACTGCAGTCCTTAAGTAGTTTTTTCTATTTTCCAAGGAAATTTATGCTACAGTAGTAGGCCTACAATGTAGGCCCTATGTTTGTTACGGAAATCTGAAATAGCATATACCTTTAGGCCTAAGCCACGTGCGCAAGTAACGCAACTCCCTTTTATAGTAGGGGGAAAATGTACCGGTTTTCAAGTCTACAGGCACCAAAAAAAAAAAGTTTAGGCCTACAATGTAGCCTATATATATATATACATGTATAGGGGCCTAGTTATAATGGCAGCGCGCTGTTATTTTCCCCATCTTAAATGGTTGTTTTGCACCCTATTGAAGCTGCAGCAAGAATAGGGCGAATCCCGTTTACGTCATACTAAACCATCAAAACCAGCAATTTTAAAGTTATAACTTTTTTTGCCACTACGTACAGATTATAAATTTATGATTTGGGGAAATCCCAAATCTACTCTATTATGGTGACGTCATCGATAATAACCCCGTAATCTGATGACGTAGAGCTCACAGGAAGTATTTCCGGGGAAGACAAAGTTGGAGGTCGTCGGTATATTTGTGCTTCTGATTTACCTATGGGAGCCTAAAAATTCAGGTTTGTGTATGCAATTTCACTAAAATACCAATAGCAACAGAAAATCCTATAATTTGGTTAATATCTCTTAATCCATAAAGCAAGAAACCACTGTGACGTGCACTCGGCTTCACCTGTCACGGCAAAGTTTGAGATTGTTATGTCTGCCGAAAAAATTACGAAAAAAGGTCGGGTGATTCATAAGAATGAAAAGCATTAAAGTTTGAATTTGATCGGCAAAATGTTATTTGAAAGCACATTTAAATATTACGAGATCCGAGTTCATTACAGGGGTGTGAATGTGCAGTAAAATCTTATTGGTAAAGGAGTTTCCAAGTTAAATAAAAAATTAAAATTGGTTATTAAATTTCCAAACTTATTTATTTGAATAGCAGAGATATTGTCCAAGTCACCACATAACTTAATTTTGATAAAAATTAAAAATTTAAATAATAGAAATAATCATAATGGTTTAGTGAAAAAGGAGAGGGTTTGACCACAAAAAATTATGCAGTTGTATTCCTGTTTAGTATTTATGTATTTTGATATGTACAATATGTCATAATACTAAGTTGCCATGAAAGATTAGGGTGCACATAACTGGTAAGTGATGGTCAGATAGTGAGTCAGCTGCATGTTGTCGGCTCTCATGTTGTCTTTTTTGCACGCCTTTCACCTCAGCTCCCACACTGCTAGAATGCAGAAATCAGTTTTCTATCATGAGGCAATTTTTTTTTTAATTTTTCACATCAGTAGGAATTTTAATTTTCTTAATTTCTTCCCCCACAGAATGGCCAGCAAGATAAGTCTACGATGCAAGTCACAGAAAGGTCAAGCTATTCTTCAGGGATTGACTTCAGAGTCCACAGTGCAGCAGCTAAAAGCCAAACTGGCAGAGGCCAGTGGTATACAGGCTGCCCACCTAAAGATTAGGAGTGGATTTCCTCCAAAGCTAATACCTCTAGATCACAATGCCCAGAATCTGAGTGATCTGCCTATCAAGTCTGGAGACACTTTGATCGTTGAAGAGGACACTGCTGCTAAGGTTGCTAGGGAAGATAAATTCTTGAACAACTTCCAGGCCCAAATGCAACAGAACATGGGAATTCTCATGAGAAAGGTGGTGCCAGCTGATAACTCTTGTTTGTTCACTAGTGTTGCATTTGTTTTACACGATGGAAATCCTGAACCTAAATCCGCTCCCTTTATGAGGCAGAAAATTGCCAAGGCTGTCTCTGATGACCCAGTTACTTACAATGAGGCATTTCTTGGGCGAAAGAATGACTCTTACTGCGCTTATATCCTCAGTGATGATACTTGGGGAGGTGCTATTGAATTATCCATTTTCTCTAAGCTTCTTCAGCTAGAAATAGACGTAGTAGACACCCAGACAGGACGCATAGATCGGTTTGGGGAAGACAAATTTTATCGCACTCGTGTTCTGTTGATTTACGATGGAACGCACTACGATCCTCTTATGATGGAATCAATTGATGCTTCCCAACCTCCTCAGACACGTTTTCCAATTACAAATGATGTGGTATTATCCCAGGCAATGGAAATTGCAGCTGAAGCCAAAGCCAGCAGGAATTACACCGATACTAGTAAATTTACATTAAAATGCTCAGCATGTGAGATTGGACTAGTGGGACAGAATGAGGCAACAGAGCATGCCCAGCTAACAGGTCACACTAATTTCTGTGAATACTGATGTTAAGAGACAGAGCAAATTCGTGTTTAACTATCAAAGTGGATAGCCAAACGAGAATCGAGTGTTCAAAAAGTTAAAACCTTTCAATTTCTACATGTAATTGAAGGTAACTCTGTGACTTTCTTCGGTGCGTGTTACATGTGTATTGAGAGACTTGAGTACTGTTCATCAATGTTTCAGTAATAGTACTGTCCCTTTTTTTTTCAACTTGAAGTTATGATCATTATCAACAGGCTACATGGCTAAACTTCCATCAGAAGATTCCAGTGTCTCTTGCTATCCCGACCAGTGAAATTGAAGGAATTAGTGAATTTACATTGTAGTCTGTAGCATAGATCTACATTTTATTGAACCTGTACCTGTGGATATTGAAGTGGTAGAAATAGTAGCAATTTATCATCATTCAGTGCAAAATATAGGCACACATTTAAATGCAATTGCAGTAGATGTTATGATCAAATGTAATAGGTATGTAAGAGGATGCTGGATGATATGCAAATAGACTTCATGTAACTGAAGCATAATAGTTTATCAAAATGGCTATGTGCTTTAATACCTGTGCTTTCTTAGTTGATGTTTTACTGTATTATGGAAAGATGTAAACTTTGTGTCTTTTGAGTTTGATATATGTAAAATATTATGATATAGCTTCATTTAAATTTCTTGTGAAATGGAAAAGGAAGAAAAGAACATATCATTATGTAATGTTATGTTTGGAGAAATTACAACTTATTTATTTTGCTTATTGTTTGTTCGTTTAATTTTCTTGTTAATGGCAATCTGTGTGCTTCAAATTACAACAAAAGGAAGAATTTGTAGGACATGTAGACTAAAAGCCTCAATTATTTGTTTTGCAGATGTACCCCAAATTTACATTTTACTGAAGCCCTGCAACCAATCTATCAAAACCACTGTGCATATAACCTAGCTAGAGAAATAGATCACCAAAAATAACAAAAGAGCCTGCTCAACTACATCATCTCATCTTTATTGTGTGTAAAAGTGCAAAGTCTACTACAATTTTACAGTTGTCTTAAACTTTCACATTCATTTTAATTGATTATTTCTTTGATTGAAATTATATTTGAAGTACAGAATCTGCTATATGCAAAAGAAATGACATGGATCTTTCAATACATTTCCATATTAAATGTTAATTATTCTAAGTGCTACCGTAAAATTAAAATCTAGTCAGTTCATGAATGATTCATTTTTGAATTTCTTAATATATATGAAACAAAACTACACAAATTTATAAAAACTTGGACATCTGGTCCAAACAAATCGGAAAAAATTGATCAGAGACAAAAAACATTAAACAAACACCCTGAAAACTAATGCATTTTTTTTTCAAAATATTACATTTCTTTCAAAGACAGCATTGAATTGACTCAAAAAGATGGTGTTGGTTTTATATACATGACATACAAGTCTTAGGACAGGAAAAGTAACCACCAATAACTCCACTGGTTTATATTCACTGATACACCCATCAAAATAAAACAGAGCTCCCTCCTTTCAGATGCTCTCAAATATCATAATTATCTAAACCATATCTTAATATTGAACAATTATAATATTTAAATTTTAAACAGCTGATGTTTGTATTTCCTCATGAGGAACCTGAAGGTGCTTTTCTTAACTTACTAGTGTTACTTAATGTGGTGTATTTTCTGACACAGCCCCCCCCCCCCCCTCATTGAAGAGCACCTCTTGCACACTCCAACACTTATCTAATCAATTTTTGAAAGAATTCCTTTACCCAGCATTCACCACTTGGCCTGATAGGCTATTCTGTGTTTGCTACTCTCAGTGTACCTGTTTCCTTGTACTGAGTTTAGGTCTCTGACATTAACATTAGAGATTTAAAAGCAATATAATGTCTGCATTGGTTTATAAAGAATATCATAGTCCTTGATAATGGAGAGAGAAGAGGGCACCATGAATACTGTGTGGGTTCAAAAAAATCCTGCTCTCTTCATCATCAGACAAAACAAACTTGAAGTGTGACACAGGTTAAATTTCTTCCAGGTTTGGAGTCTTAGTGGTTTGTTTTATGGCAACAGCATAAGTATACACTCGTGCATCTACTACAACATCTTGTTTGGCAAACTCTGGAAAACACAGCCAATTGTTTGAGTGAGAAGGAGGCAACATTATTTACAAAACTGAGGTAAATTATTGTGGCTTGTTTACACCGAAGATAGGTCAACCCCATATGGGAGGGGGGCTTATAATACAAAAAGAGCTATAGCCCAAAGACTGGTATAAATACTAAAACCAAAATTCTGTCCACTTGAAACAAAATAAATGAAACACTGTGCTCGTTTTATAGCACGAGAGGCAATTACAGCATGCGTTTCGGACCAACAGTTACATTAATATATGGACAAGTGTGGATTCATCTTAAACCAAATAATAGACTTGAATTGAGGACTTTACATTTGCTGCTAATGGTAGACCTAGTTCAAACCAGGAAAAAAAGTCTTACAAGGAACTGACCTATATTCAGTGCCAATTAACACGCCTTTAGAGATCATTCTCTAATAAGTAGCTGATCATACCGGTACGTACATTGGGGATTGTTTTGTTAAATATTTTACATCAAAAATCAATCTAGTCTAGACAAAGACTGCTTGAAATTTTCACCAACTTGAATATATTTCACACACACACACACACAAAAAAAAAAAAATTAATTAAATAAATAAATAGATAAAAGAAATGAATAAGTAAATATATATGTTAATAAACAAAATCGAAAACCGAAATAAAATACTAATAAAAATATATCAATCACTTCATTTTTGACTAAAACATTAAAAGCAAATTGTAATTGTCTTGACAATGATTTTACTGTTTCGTGATAAGATTCCTTATACAGCTAAAACAGAAAGTCCCTTGACAGTTGCAAATGCATGCAATGGCCTGTTGAAAAGAGGGGTTTTCACAACAAGTACATGTCCTTCGCCTAGCTAGTGGGTAAGTTGTTCAGAAAAACATAGTCGCCATTTATTGCTTTCTCAGTTTCATTAATTGACTTAAATAATTGCAGTAAACAATGAGGAGGAAATGCTTAAGACAAAACATTGCTGGGTCTTTGTGCAACTTTTTCCCTGAACACTTTTGATGTTGCTTTTACAGGAGGACTTCCTTAGTTAACATTTAAATGTCTCCTCCCCTCAGCAGATCCAACTTGAGGAATGTACGTCAGTACACAGTAGATCAAATTTTGGTTGAGATTATGAAAGGTTTGAAGGACAAAGCGATAATATGAGGGTTTTTTTTTTTTCAAGAAAAAAAATTGATTTTTTATGGTGTGTCACAATAGTTACTTAATAAAGCTATACTTAAATATATTCCAGAAACATGTGAAATTAGGCTAATGACGTGATTGTACCTTAACCTGAGATATCCCTGATGAAAGCACCATGATGGACACAGAAAAGCGGACTGCAAAAATAATGTCTTTTAATATCGATTAAAACATGATATGATCCATTGTTAAAATTGTATTAAAACTTTCAATATGCCAGGTTCAGTAATGTCAGAATTTTGGCAATCATTTAAAACCATACTTGTACAAAGTTTACTTAGCCTTAGTTAAGTAACAACCAGTCTGAAAAAACGTCTCCCATTTTACGTGAGGCAAGACACACTCTTCACATATGATGAAAAACCATGATAAAGACCGTGTGAGAATAATACATTCCTCATCACTTTTACAAGGCAGTGGATGAGAGCCTGTGGATAAATTACAATATACAATCAAAAGGAAATTAGCTAAGAAAGTTAACTACAGGTCAACAGTTTGCGTATCTGAAGTGGAGAAATAGATATCTTTATCTGTCTCTTTGTTCAAAGCAAAGAAATAGATATCTTTCTCTTTGTTCCAAGCAAAGAAAATTTAATATATATATATTTATCTGTCTCTTTGTTCCAAGCAAAATTCAATCGCACCTCCTTTTAATAAACCTTCATACTCACTGTTGATACTGTTCACAGTATATATTGAATTACACATCCTTCGCCTACATGAAAATGTGTTTACTATATTTTCCTTTTACTTATAGATGGCACGTATGTTCAAGTGCATTCTTGTAGTTACTATTTCCCTACGCGGCAGCAATAATTCTTTCAGAGTAACAATATATTGCAACCGTCTCGGTACAATTTCATATCAAGATGCCTAAAAACTGATCAATCAGACAGAAGAGATAAATTGTTTGAAGCAAAGTAATTCATTTGCGACTCTTAAATAAACCTTCACTTGTTCATGTTGAAGTGTAAAAGACAGGCAAAGGCCTCGAGTCACTGTTGATACTGTTCACAATAAATATTGCAATACAGCTCCTTCGCCTACATGTAAATGCGTCTCAGTACATCTAGTGAAAATTGAGATGCCTAACAATGATCACTCAGACAGAAGAGATACCAGTAGACATCTTTATCTTCACCTGTGGAGCCCTTGCTCCCTTTCCTACACCACTTACTCCCTTTAATTTATCCATTTATCCTTAATATATCCATTTGTGTGAAATTAAAAAGGCAAAGTCAGAAATTAAATATGCAGTGACAGTAAACAAGCAACATTGTTCATTAAAGGCTTCTTAAAATGCAACTTTTCACCGATCTGTCCTACGAAAGCGATGCGTGTCACCACAAGTGGAATCAAAATGATCACTGTGGAAACAATACAACAGGGAGCTGCAGAGGTGCAGAACTTTCACTAGTAGGCTTGATTTGGTCTTAAAGTGCAATTTAAGAACACAAATAGTCTTAGGCCGCATTCTCAACGAATTGAGCCAGGCTTTACAAATCCTTGGAACTAAAAATGGCAGATGTACATGAAAGAAAAACCGCCTAATCTTTTAATAGTCTCTCCGCCTCTCACACGCCTCCCCACACGTCGTTCCTGCGGGGTACAGTAATTAAATCTCGGCTCCGAACATGAATATCTCGGTGAATATCTCTGGTGATATTATCTCTGTAGATAGTCAATTCATTGCTGCTCTACGGGCCAATTCATTCCTTTTTCTCGTCTCTGTTTTGAAAGATAATAGAACAGAAGAGCTTTTTTCCTTCGATCACCTTCACCACGAGTTTAACTGATGAGCATGCGCACTTAATATTTCTCAGGTAGCTTCCGCATGGCGAACGGAGCCGAGACTTAATTACTATGCCCCGCAGGGACAACGTGTGGGGAGGCGTGTGAGAGGCGGAGAGACTATTAAAAGATTAGGCGGTTTTTCTTTCATGTACATACGTCATTTTTAGTTCTCTAAGGTTTCTTTAAGACCAAATCTAGCCCACTAGTGTTTGCTCAGTGAGCAGGCTACACGAAGTGTGCCAACACTCCAATGAGGTACAGCAGCCCTAGAAGTCTTGCCAACTTCTTGAGCAGTCCAAACGGCTATGCTCACCGGCTAAGCTTGTCGAGGAAAACCCCATAATTAATGAACAGTTGGGGTACTAGGCAGTGTAGCTACTGTTACAATGTGGCCTAGTATCAAGGGAATTTCTGTTTAGCTGTAGGTACATGTATTCCAGCTACATCACTGGCCCAATATTGTTTACAAAACACATAGCCTGATATTGCAAGGATTGACTTTGCATGTAAAGCCAGTATATCCCATTTTTCTTTTTCTTATTTTAGAAATCTTCACTGAGACTAAAAACTTAAAACTTTTCACAAAACAGTCCCCAGTGTGTTTGCAAGCAAAAATGAACAAAAAGGTTAAGAAACATTCAGCACTGTAGCTGCTACAGACCTACAGTGTAAGAAAAGTATAAAGACAAGCAAGAAGTTAAAACTCGATCAACACACAATAAACAAAATAAAACAAACTACAGTAACTATAAATCACTGATAAAAGATTAGTATAAACAATAGTGTGATGTTAAGTCTCAGGTATCACTGAAGTTGGGAAAGCAAACTGGAACTATAAAACATTCATATATTTAAAATGGTAAAATAAGTTTTTCAGTGCCTTCTGTGTATGACTGTAAAAATAATATGACATTTGTGAGAGATTGATTTTTCACCTCAATAAGTCATTTGTGTGATTATCTTCCTTTGATAAAGGGACAAATGCATTGTATATTCAAGATCTGCTAGTCTCTTCACAAATGATTTACATTTTTACCATCAATAAAAATGCTGAAAGCAGCTGTGACAATAAGTGCAACATACAATTTAACCATTGAAGCAAAAAGTTCATAAATCAGAAACAAACAAAGTTGTACCCATTTGATATAACAAACAAACACTGGATAATTCTTTTGAAACATATATTAATGATTGGTGGTGGTGGTGTGTGTTGGTGTGTGTGTGTGTGGGGGGGGGGGGGGCAAATCGTCAGGAGATCCTGCATGAATCAAGGACATGAAAAACATAACAAAGTTACACAATGGAAGGTGACTGCCAGAAGACCGCAATAGAAAAAGATAAAATGTATTGAATGAAGACTAAAGATATTAAATATTAATTGCATGAACAAATAGGTGAAAAATCAAGCATTTGGTCCATTTTTATGCTGTGCATTACATACCAGTAAATCTACAGTGTATATATCAAAATACATAGGGAGAATAACAACTTTTAAGTTTACAATACCCTGACTATTATGGAAGAGAGTAACATCCTTGCATATATGGGGCACCTGCACTCACTGCACCAATAAACTGGAATTATTTTGATTGGCACAGGCAGTTGGAAGCAGCTTGTGAAAGGGAACAAGATATACGTTTCCTTGACGACTAGCTGGGCTAGTAAGTGTTTTGATACTGATATGTGTGAAGGGTATCAGATTTCTCTGCATGTGATAGTACAATTATGAAATTATATAATCTATGGTAGAGACAGGGAAAAGATCAGACATGGCTTGTTTGCAACAGGAGCAATCAATAGACTGTGTGATTTTCAGAGGCAAAATAATAAGTTTTTTTAAAGCAAATGACAGCTATACTGTAGGTTAAGGTGAGCTACAGCTAGGGATTTGTTTTAAAGGTACATACGAACCGAGCATCGGTGGAGTGTGGATTCNGTTTCCAGCAGTGCTCCTCCGGTCATCACTACATCATCTACTATCAAAATACGATCCCCATCCTTGTAATGTCCCTCTAAAGTTTTCTTTGTTCCATAAGACTTCTGCTCTTTTCTCTTCAACAGCATTGGGACATCATACGCTGTGGAGATGTACTGAAATACAACTAAATTCTAATTTCATCAAGGACCACTTAAAATATCCAGTTTTCCAAAAAAAAAATATTAAAATATTTTTTTCTGTATCATCTACTTCTTAAGAAATGTTTCACACAGCTTGGTCACATAAATCTTAAAGGTACATACGAACCGAGCATCGGTGGAGTGTGGATTCCGAGTAACACATGTAAACCACTTCTACTATATTCTTATATAACTCAAATAAATTCGACATACCAAGGGATAAACTGAATAGATCCTCGATCAGCCATAAAAGACCTTTAGACTGCTCCTTTCTTTAAATTTATGGTTGTAAATTTAACCTACCTCCGTGACCTACTTTCCTACCCCATTGACATACAGCTTAGAATGCCAGCAGAAAAATCTGTTAAAACATCATTTTCGGGTAAAATTAAACAATGCCTTTTGGTAATTCTCTTAGTTATACTACTTGAAACTATATGCTGGCATTTGGTTGGTTTTTGTGACAAAACATTGACTTTGTATGCACCTTTAATTAATGAAATGTCTTAATCAAGCTTGTCAAGCTCGAGTAATTGGCAAAAATGTTCAAAACCTGCAAGGTGCATGGCCAACCCCAGAAATGATGGCATTGTTTCTGACCTCTTTGTCTCATTATACTGGTACTTGATAAAGATAGACCACAGGATCTTAATTTTTTTTCATGAGGAAATGGCACAAAAACAAGTAAAATATCTTCCAGGATCTAGAAATGTTCAAGCAAATAGCTATCAAATATATCTGCTGTCATAAAATGGCATTTGTGAACCTTAAAGTTTATTATTTTCTTCTATAAAACCCCTTCATGTTTTCCACCATCATGTGTTATTTCATCCTCTCCTGTAGGTTCTTCTGCTGTCTGTGACAAGGCCAGAGCATAGGTAAAAACTCTGGTATCAACTACAATATCTTTACTGGATAACTCTGAAATCAATGGTTTGAAAGAAGTATATTGTAATTGATAATTATTTTCCGTAATGAACACTGTGGCCTGATCCCTCCTTGTATAAGCTGCAATAAACTTATTATTATATATATATATATAACCAACAAACCTGATTTGATTATGTAGGACATAATCTGATTTAAGACATAATCTGATTATCTTGAAATCTTTTCCCCCAAAATTAGAAGCATCCTACAGATGCGGAATGAAACAAGTCATGCAGGTATAACTTGTAAGGAAAATCGATTCCTATGACATCACTAAAACTATTATCAGTTTAAGGTACTGCAACAGAATACTCACCATTAAGTCTTTCTAGTAGCTCATTTACAGGAATGGAAATGACTTCTATAAATTCTAAAAAAATTAAACAAAAAAAATGATTCAAATTTTTCTTCCATTTAGTTTGGAAGGAAAAAGTTGGACAAAATGAGTTAATTTATTAGAAGAAATACTGGTACACTACAATTGCAAGCTTCTGTGAATTTAAAAGAATGTCAGTAAATTTTGAAAGAAATGTGAAAGGCACAATACAGTCGCTCACAAAACTAAAAATTGAAGAAAGGTAAATTACTGAATAGAAAATTGTGAAGAAATGTATTTGGTAATAATTCCAAGTAACATGGCAAGACTGATATTGGGAAAAGAAAAGACTGATTAACTGTGTTTGTGCCATATCAAAATTAAATGACAGAAAAAAAAATTCAGAAATTTGTGAGTCATTTGATTATTTCAATTCATATATCTTTGCACTGATTCTTGTTAACTTTATAATTACCTGAATCATCTGAGATCCAAAGCATGGCATGGAAATAAAACAGATACATGAATAAGCAGTATTTAAACTTGATATTTCTAAAGTATCAATATTCAACATAGTGCATCTTTCCTTGAAAAACAATTTCTTATCTACTTTTAAATTGGTGAACTTTTAAATAGCTAAAAGTGAATGTTGAAGTAAATGATTTAAACTTTCATAAAAATAAGAAATTCAACCTCAACCTCATAGAACCTGCTACAGATAATGCTCATTTGCAAAATGACTGAAAATTAGACAATCTACAACTTGAAGACTTACGTTGTATCAGAGAGAGAGAGAGAGAGAGAGAGAGAGAGAGAAAGAGAGAGAGTTAAATAAACAAGACATATCACATACCTAGTTTTGCTTTAGGTTTTTTATTCACAGGATCATCACCATCAATCTGCAAGAAGAATAAATTTCACCTTACAAAGCATAGCCTTGCTCTCAGCCAGGAATCAAATTTTGATATAATTATTGAAAATACATGTGTGTGTGTGTGTGTGTGTGTGTGTGTGTTGTGTGTGTGTGTGTTAGCTGAACTAAATACTGAATGCTAATTGTAAGGCTAAGTTTTAGTATCAATTAATGCAGCTGATAACCAATTATCAAAGGTGCCGCATCCATTCTGACAAGCTCTACCCTAATTAAGCAAATCATTATTGATTCTATCCTTATTTTTGATTGGCATGGACCAAAATCTTGCCTGAACCATTCAATACAGCAGACTGGGTGTCATGAATACTCTGGGGCCAGAAAACTTGTTCATGTTCTCTTAAGTTTCTGCTAAATTATCTTTAACGTAAGTAAAAATGTTGCATGATAATTTGGAAAGTTCTCAGTTAGGTGACCAATCTCTTTTGTAAGTATACGTGTGTGTGTGTGTGTGCATGCATTCGTGCTCATTTACCTCTGCTGTCGCTATACAGACTGTACAATTTCCTATGCCAGGATCCAAACAGGTGACTGTAAAATACAATATGGCCTTTAATTACTAACCAACTAATGCTAATACTATAATTCTAACATTATGCCAATTGCAAAATAATCATAATAATAAATTACATTAAAAATTATAGTAATTAAAAGCAATTAGCTTATTTGTGAACAGAACTGGACTGTATGTACCCATTCTAGTCAGTAAAGTATGCTGCAATGTTTGGGTAAAACCAACATTTTGGTCTTGGGTTTTCTTATCAATTGAAACTAATCCCAAGCAGACCATTTTATAACCAATCAATTAGTGCAACAGACTGGACTGTCTAGTATAATGTGAATTGGAACAGAGACATTATTGGTATTTAGCATTCTCGGCTGTGGGTGGAAATGTACTCCAGCACAAGTGATATTAACACCTCCGCTTGACAACCCTCATTTCTTTCATCAACCTATGAAGTAATCGAAATGCTCAGTAAATAAACTGCAAATGGCAAGACATTATCACTCTAGACTACTCACTGTAACACCAATGAAGTGACTTTCCCATAAAAAATATACAAAAAGGCCCAAAAGCACCCAGTATTGTTTGTGTTATTGACAATTTTAAACACACCTGGTGATATGTGTTTTATTTTGCCTGTGTACCCAGTTTCTTCCTCCAATTCTCTGACTGCAGTCTCTTCTGGTGATTCTCCAGCATCAATCAAACCTTGAAGTCAATTAAAAAAGTTCAAGAAACTAAACAAAATAAGCAAACATTCAAAATATTTAGTTCAGATATACATACATTTTTCTCACAAAAGATAAAGGAAAAACATAAAAAAGAGCAAAACAATAATTGTCATATTGAGCGAATTCTCAAATCAACTTGCATTTTAATTATATTTTTTTTTTCAATTTATTTCTGTACTGTTACATAGATTGTCATGACCTTGTACAATATGATATACAAATGATGATACAATACAGTTAGTGCATTACCATCTTTATATAATGAAGATAAGTACTAGTAAAATCACTCATAGAATATTCTATCTAAGCAATGAGATAAACCTTGGTGTGATTATAAATTTAACATAAACATAGTATAAACATGTTACACAAAAAGAATGTTTTTTTTAAAAACTTAAAAACCACCGTTACATAGCTGTTTACATGGCTGTTCAAAGCCAGTTTGATGACATTGATAATTACGATTAATGACAATTACATTACAGGTTATTATATTCATCAGTCCTGTAAGTATAAAGACAACCTATAGGTCAATCTGTTTTCCTCTCTTGTGCTATCACTGGCAAAGTGTATGGTGATGATAGCAATGCCATACGCAGGTGATGGCTATACTATGCCTGCATATATAAAACATAAAAATCAATGACTTTTGGGAAAAATAATCTGATCATATTAATTTCAAAAGAAACCTGTCTTTTAGCAAGCAAAGTCACTCATTAAATTAAAAGTAAAACAAAAAATATGGTTTGACAGTTATAGGGTTAAAATCAGTGCTCAATATATAACACTACGTAACAGACACACCAAAGTGTCTATAATTAACAAATACAGGCTTTATAGTTTACTTAATGTGAAACCCAATTTTCATTCCAGTCTCCCAAATTAGTGAAATATCTATGTGGTCCACTCTACATCAGAGGTCTGCTGAGTGACGACATTAATCAGCAGCAGAGAATAATACAAATAAACAACAGGCATATGTGAGAATATCTAGTGAAAAACCAGTCAGATTTCTTTTGCTCCCCAAGAAGGCATACGTGGTGTGATTGGACAGTTTTTTATATAAATGAGAATTATGAGTGTACCACATGACCAACAGATGAGTACATTTAAATAAATGGCTGCATAATTATGCCCAGTCATAATACTGAAACGAATGAATGTTGAACTGCACAGAAGGTGTATAATTTGGTGAGTGTTCATCTTAATTTTTCTGTTTCTTCATCATTTCAACAGATCTTTTGAAAGATTGCATTTTTGATTATCAGTTTTCATGTTATTAGAAGTCAGTGTGGTCAAGACATGAACTTTCCTGTCAAAGGACACAGACAATTCTCCCTTCTTTTCATCATTCTGTAGAATCCCTCTTGGTTATTTGGATAACCAGCAGTCAGTATGATATAATTAATAATTATTATCAGGTAGCAAAATTCATATCAAATTATATTTAATGCTATAAATTTAAATGGAGACGGACAGATTTCACATATTTTGTAGGGGTTTTTTTCTTCATGTTTAGGTTTTATTGGGCCTGGAATAAAGGTTAATTGTTGAGTCAAAGTGGTGAATCAGATGATCACTTTTGCCTGATGTTCCCATAATGAGGAAGGCAAATCTTGTAAACCAGTTACCAAAACTGGTCTAGACTAGTTGTATGGACAAACACCAGGGACAGTACACAAAGAAATTTTAAAAACTTGTATGTATGTAAAGTATTTATAAACAGTGAATATGAATAAACCGAAGAAATCAGCCAGGCATCAACATATTCATATCAATTATTAAAAAAAAAAAAAAAGTTAAAAGCTAGTCTGAGCAGAAAAAAGCATCTTATGAACAGCAGAGAAAAAAGTGAAAGGAGTTTCGTAAAACACCTCGAACCAAAAAAAGGACACACTCATCTCTGATGAATTGCTCATCAGAATATCAGTCTGAGAAACAAATTTGAATTGATCAGATAGTGGCGAGGACAAACCAAGACTGACAAGATGGCAGAACTTAATGCAACTTTGGCAAACAGCACCGCACTGCTAAATATAGCCCCCGAGTACAAATATTATTTATGGATAATGAACGCCATTATTTTCCTCTGTGCAGTGGTAGGAGTAACTCTGAACACTCTTGCACTTGCCGTTTTTTACAAAAGCATTGAGTACAACAAGACTTCGTACCTTCTCTTTTGTTTAGCAATCAATGACAATATATTTCTAGTTCTTCGCACCGTGCAACTTATCATTATAAGCGTCTACCTTTATTATGCAGAAGTAAGAAGTACCACATTACTAACAAGCATAAGTGGACTACAGGTCACACTTTATTTCCTCATGACATTACAGACCTACATTGCTGCACTTGTCTCCCAAGAACGCTACTGCTCTGTCAAAAAACTTTACAATGTACAAAGCAAAGTACCACTGACAAGAAGAGAAAAGCTGTTCCCCCTCTCAGTGGTCATTGCTGGGCTCTTACTTTTCAATGTTCTTAAGGCCCTGGATGTAGATCATTTAAAAATCGATAAGTGCACAGATGCAGCTTTCTGTCCAACATTGTTTCTAAAACAGGGACCAAACTGGAAGATATACTCGATTGTATTCAGAATTGTTTCAGAAATCCTACTTTCTGTTTTGCTGCCAGTGGGGATGTTTATGTATTACACAGTCAAGACTTTTAAGAAACTGTTCTTCCAATATCCCATGCTGCCTACCAACATGTACAATGCAGCTAAAATTGCACAACGCAAAAAACTTCACCGTGAAATGATGAAGATTGTGATAGTAATTGCAGCATTCATGATGATAAACACTTTACTAAATTTTTCAATGCAGATCAAATTTGTCTTTCCAACAGTAGGTCCAAGTGTCTCTCCCATTGCTATACTCTTGGTTGCAGTTTTCACTGCAGTAAACTCCTCACTGAACTTTTTTGTCTACGGCATGTTTGGATCTCTATTTAGAAAAGAAATAAAGAGCATCTGCTGTTGTAAGACATAAAACAACATATACTTTACTTAAAGCAGAAAAAAAAAACTTCACAAAGACAAAAATGGCATGAGACAAGGATATCTCTGAGCCTTTTCATATGAAAGAAGATGGACATGAAGTTAAATGAAAACATGGATGGAGAACTACAAGGCACATCATGACTTAAACGATAAATGTGAGCTGAAAGCCATGCTCACATTCCGCTTACTTTATCTTGCATAGAAAACAGGAACACATTAAAAAGGAGACTTAAACCAGGCAATTGGGAAAAATATTAAAAAGGGTCTCCACTCACTGGCATGATGTTAGAGATAAATTTCAGCTCATGGATGGGTTCACTCCTGGCTTAAAGCAGACTGGAAACAGACCACAGTATGTCACCAGACAACAGATCATGACTGCCAACTGCCAACTCAGGATGTCAAGTTTCGGTAAGCATTAATTTTATTTTAATAGTAATTTTTTACTGTCATATATTATGAAGTAAGCATGGCTTTTATCGGACAAAAACGGATTGAAGTGCTCTCTTACGAGTATGTAAATATGACCTCCAGCTGACTAAATCAAAGAACGTAAGTACTAACTGAGAAACTGCATTTTTTAATCCTTATAAAAATATTACATTTGCCTGACAAAAATTAGAAGTCATACTGAAAATAATTATAATTATATTTACCATATTTTACATTATTATATTTACCAGGATTTGTTTAAATGAGTCAGTGTGACGTCTTTCTTTTGGAGTTAATTAAGATTCATCATTAGGCCAGAGAGAATGTTCCACATATAACAGTGTCAAGCAGCTTTGCATTTTTAAGAAAAACAGAATTAATTAATCTACCTTATTTTCTCTCTAATTGTAATCTTTATTGATTGGGTTAGAAGAAAGATAACGTACCCATGTGGAGTCATTTTTATTTTGCCACAATTTTTAAAGCTGTATTCTCATAATTTATATTGCTTGACATCATTGAATCAGATATGACAAGTGCATTGTTTTGCCAGTCATAAAATATGGTATAAACTGATCCCCTGAAGTTTGGCACTAGAAGGCTAGTCATATTGTCTTACTGCTTGATCTATGATCACATTCCTGTAGACACACTATTGAGAGACCCAACTCTGTGAGGAGTCTCGCTTAGTGCAATCAGCTTAACTGAATGACGACTAGATACTTATATTTCTTGCTTCATCATTTTAATTAAAACTGAAATTAAAACTGAAATTTTAGTTAAAACTGAACAATAATTACTTTAAAAATAATACAAATCTGCCATCACCAAGACTTTCATTCAATCTCTTGTTAACTTCTCTGCTTGATGTTCATCTTACCTACTCCTACATGTACCAGATATTAAAAAAAATGCCAAGGGATGCCAATCAGAAACTATAGAAATTATGGGTCACTTCAAACTATCATATAAAAAGTCCGCTGCAATTTTTCTGCTTATCAATCAATCCATGTCATAATTACAGAATTACAAAAGGCACCACAATGAAAACCCGTATTTCAACTTTTTAAAAAAGAAATAATGTTATGTACATGTATGCTTTCTTCTTCTCTTTTATTTATTTGTTTATTTTTTTTTTTTGGGGGGGGGGGGGACGGGTCTCAGTTCAACAGAAACAAGAGGGCAAAGCTGGCAATTATACTGAGACCAAATAGCATTAAACACTGCATCAGTTTCTTAATCAATTAATTCTGTAAAAATAATCTGATCATGCTAATTTTTGAAAGAAAGTTGTCATTATCCTACTTGTCAGGAAAAGTTTTTATTATCCTAATTGTCAGGAAAAGTTGTTTGTGTCAGGAAGTTGTTGCCATTTCTGGCAAATAAGCAGAGATTTACTTGGCTTAAATGTGTCAGACATCATGAAATCAAATTAATTGGATCGTTATTATCCTCCATTTGCCATGTCCAGTAAAAGTCTTTCCCACTTCAGATCTTAAAGACAATAAAACCCCTCAAATAAATGTTTATCTGAAGCATACCTAATGTCGTTAGTACTTTCTCTAAGCATGCTAGGTGGCAACCATTACATTTCACACTTCCACAAGAATGAAAAATAAAATTGTCCCTTTAGGCTTCGTTCACATGGAAAGTCTATTTTCTAAAAATCTATTTTCTATTCGCGTTATTTTGTGATCACGGTCTGTGCCCTGAATACCCCGTGGCATAATTACTGGCAGCGCGAGCCAGTTACTTCCAAAGCTGTAATTAATTCTCGGCTGCGCTCGGAGTGATCACAAGATACTGCGAATAGAAAATAGATTTTTAGAAAATAGACTTTCCATGTGAACGCAGCCTTATACACAAGATAAGGCACTGATGCAAAGCAAATTCTTATAAAGAGGACATGATCACATATCCATTACTTTGTTCATTTCGGAACAACTCTCCACACATTTGAAAATTCCCCACTGTCATTTTTACATTCTAGCTGCAAAGCTTAAATGATAAATTTCCCAATTCATACCTCAGAGACAATATAAAATTCTTTAAACAAAAGTTTATCTGAAGCCACATAGTAACTTCATAGCCTCCATGATAGCTAGCAACATCCGTGTTACATAATTCTTACAGTCGGGCTGACGTCATATGTCCTAGCAACCAGCAAGTTCAACGGAAATAGGGTACGTAAAACGATCCAAAATACATGGTTGCATTGCACTGATTTCTATGTTAAAGTTGTCAAGCTATGTCAGATGATATCATGATTCACAGTGCTTAACCACTTGTGTCAGGGAGGATGAGCTATTGATTTCCTTTGATGGCCTTTGCAATTAACGCTGCACACCTTGTTAAGAGAGGAAATCGGCCTTAACTGCTGATCCTTATTTGTGATTGGGAATCTTACAGGAGTAAATTGCTAAGACTCATTTGCTTACCTAGATTAGCATAATATTCACATCTTCTTGATGAGAACATCCTTAGGAAGCAACTGACTTAATCAAGGAAGTGTTAATTGTACTAATAACTGTGATGCTGCACTGCTGGCAAATGTGACAGGTAAATTTTGGATTGGATTATGCCAGTGCTGTTTAACACTGAGTAAGACATACACCAGTGATACATGTACAAAAGTGATAAGGTGAAAGATTGCTGCATACCAGGCTGCACTACCAACACTTTAAAAATCTGATAGGAATTTTTTTAATTCCAAAGATGAACAGAAAAGGGAACAACTGTTGCAGGTTGTAGGCCATGCATCTTGACAAAAGACAGGGTTGTTGATTAAAGCAAGATTTGGTCCTTGCTGCTACAAGATTTGTGTATGTGTGTACAGTTCATTTTATTACAGATAAGGAGAATGTCATTATAATTTTATTTTTGTGTGTGTGTGTGTGTGTGTTTGTGTGTTCACCATTTGTAGCAGGAATAATATAAATACAAGTTAGATAACATTTGGTTTTGACATGTGTGGCAGAATATTAATTACTGCAAGTTAAAATAGACCAATACGCCAAACTTTTTTGTAGTAAAGTTAATTGACAGCATTATAAAGAGAAAAATAAAAATCTGCACATCACTAAATTTTAAAACCTGCTAATTTACCTACCTAAATATATTAGTTAACAAGTAAAATCTTAAAAATACTGTTTGTTATTTAATTTAATTTCAAACTTGAAACTTAACATACTGTCTTCCAGCTGCAGGCTATTTGGACAACTTTCATACCAAAAAACTGCACCGTAACATTAAAATAGTAAAGTGGTTTTGGTGTAAGTTTAATCACTGAGGAGGTGATCTCTTCACACTGTTCATTAAAAGCAATAGTAAGAGTTATGTTGGTATTTATCAGGTGTGTGCAAAGCTTGCTCTCAGTGTTTCACTGTTCTTAAGGAAATGAAAGACATTGAGAAGTCAGTTTTACCATGCTAATATATGTAATATATAATGCAGTGAAACTGTAAAAAAAGATTAACCTGTTTCACACTTTTTCCCTTGATACTTCCTCAATCTTATCATTTTAGTTACTAACAAAAAATGCCTTTTTTATTCAAAGTCTAACTTTCCAAAACTTTCAAATGAATATTTCTTAGTTATGCCAAAAAAAAAAGCACTTTTTTGTGAAAGTCTATAAATAATTTACTTTGCTTGAACTCACCCTGCAATTACAGTAACTGTAGTAAGACCTACCTGCAGGAAATTCAATGGTACAACATTTCATGGGAGGTCTGTATTGTTTAACAAGAACCACACAGTCATACTTCAGTAGCCGCTTCAACACTGGCATTATAACAACAGCTGAAACATGCAGGAGTTGATCTATTAGAGCCCATGCAGAAGAGAAGATCCAAGGATCTTCCGATCCACGGATCAAATACGGCGGACCCTACATGAAAGGAGAGCTGACTAATCTGCTGATGGTCTCCCTTCCTCTCCACATGCGCCATTTTAAAAATGGATTAAGTTATGGCTCCAAGGTTTAATTGCTTGAAGCCTGCAAGGAAGGTGCATGTGGAGGAAGGGAAACAGTCAGTGGATTTTTTCGGCTCTTCTTTCATGTTGGGTCCGACATATTTGATCAGTGGATCAGAAGATCCTTGGATCTTCTATTCTGTATGGGCTCTTTAATATAAATATAATGCAGTTACTTATAATCATAAGCCCATTTAGTACTTTTGCATTATGGACAGTATTACCAAAGGAAACATCAAACTGAAAAATTAAGTCTCAAGACATTTGAATGCTCTGAGACCATAGTAAAGATCATACTACACTAAAATTTAATTATTATATTTAAAACTGTTACACAAGCAGAAAAAATCTGTCAGGTGATGATTGCATTTTACCAAAATTCCAAGACATATACCTACTAGAAAATTAGGAAAGCTTTGAATACAAGCAATACAATACAATACAATAACTGTGGAAAAACTTCTTTTAAAGATTTATATTTCATATAAATAAAATATGTTGAATAAAATCCCCCAAAAGAAGACTGAACTTTATACAAATTTTTGTTATGTTCTATCTTGAACCGACACTTATGTAAAGCTCACTGCATAACTTTAAAATATTAATTACACACACGTACCCACCCCCTTCTTCAAAACATTCATTCTAACCCAAAAGGCTTGTTTAAAATCACAATGTACTCTATGGTTCAGTTATATATTGAGTGTGGAAAATGTACTATTCATAAGATTTTTCACCATCTAAAGCCCTTTCTGTCCTTGTGGTCCTGAACACTGCTTCCCATATTCTGAAAAGACAATATTTAAAGCCATTGAAATAATTGCAACTATTTGTAGCATATTCCTAGTACATGCGCCCGGAAAATATTCCACAATCTTTTATAAACTTGTCAACTCATATTAATGTTTTTCAAACCATGATCCTGATGCCACTTATTTTCTTGAACTCAGTCCTGCAATTTAACATAACCTGTATAACCTGTATGGTCTAATCATACTCTCTACAAGTTTAATATGGCTTAAAGTTAAACCAGCTTATTGGTAATGGTTCTGTACAAAAAGAAAAGATAGTTCACGGTAACAGACTACAATCACATAAATTTCTTTTACAAAAAATAAAAAAATCCACAGATATCCAGCTATGTGCACCTTAATTGCAAGGTGAGAGGTAATTAAAAGAAAATTACACTATACCTAAAGGTGGAAAATTGCAGTGAAGGTACAAAATGAAATTCACTTTCACCTTTCAACTAATTTACAGTCTCTAGCACAATAGTGAATATCAGAAAGCATAAATTTATATGAGTGCTGGAGGCTTCTTGATTATTTGGACTATCTTTGAGTCCTACCTCTCTCTCCCAGACGGATCTTGGTACTTGATTCTATTCAAAGAAATCCACTTGCCAGCACCTATTACCTGAGAATGAAATTAGATGTATACAACAGATGTATTATGTTCAGAAATAATACAATCACAGGCAATCTTTTACCGAGATTGTTTATGTATGGTTGATAAAGATCTCCAGCCTTTTTTCATTGACTAAGTGGATACAAACATAAATAATACCTTTCTGTGATAAGAGAGAGAGAGAGAGAGAAGGGGGCATTCTTCTTCTACTACTACCACGAAAACCATGCCTTATCATTTTTATTTACAGTTTTGAGATATCATTTCATAACTTAAAGCAAGACACAGCTGAGACCAATGGCAAAGTATATCTCAAACAGAGACACTCTACCTCCTGGTTTATAAACTTGGCCCTATCTGAATTTCCTTTGTGGCTAGTCGTCTCTCCGGCTGACTGGTCATTCCCACTGACCTTAGTGGACATTGTCAGTTTATTTGTAAAACTGAAACAAGGAGAAAGGCTTCGACCAAAGATTGAATAGCCACAACGGATGCCAAACCCCGAAAATAAGCTCATGCAATCTGCGAGTGGCCTGAGCTTGACGTCATGCACAAACGAGCTTACAAGTGCTGCAATATCTCCTTTGATCTTCTTCCCTGTCTTCTAGAATTAAGACGCTTCTTGTACCCATGTACTTCTACTAGTACTATGTTTATCAGAATCTCCACTCTTGAAGAACGGATGACTTGCGATGACCTCGCACTCATGTCGCATTTTCTCCGTCGCAACTAACGCAATGAAGATCTACATGCGCAACGTACATCGTGACTTTATTTTAGGAACAAATATTTTTTCGGTGTCAACTAAGTAAAATAGTAGATCCATGCCTTGGCAATCTCTAGATACGTTAATTTCAATAAATTCCACCACAATTACATTTTGGTGGAATCCATGTAACTGATTTTTTTTTTTTGGCCAACTGCAATCGGACACATTACATTCATGCTCAAAATGTTGGTCGTATCCGTTATCGCTATGTATTTTATCCATCACTGTAGATGAATATGGACGAATCCCGAAGACTTCTAAAACAGTCAACATGATATGAAATCAGATGCAACTGGGGAGGAAGGCACAGCGCCTGTAACAGAAAATCTGCGTTCATACGAGAGAACTATAGGTAGGCCTACCAATTACAGGAGGAATTTTTTTTTCTCAGAGTTAAAATGGCATAAGCCTCAAAATGGCATTCCATCCTTTTAACGGTCTTCTTCATTCCCTTTCGTTGCGCCACCGTATATTCTTCTCTCTTGCGGTGGATAATCTGGCAGGTTTGAAGTAAATGCAAAGTTATATAGGGGCGGATCCGGAAATATTTTAAGGGGGGGGGGGGGGGGGGCCGGAACGACAGGCCTCTGATGCAAAGCTGACTATCGCCCCCTTGGTGTTGGGTTCCGGACCTGCTGAAGGACCCCTAATTTTTTTTTGTGTGTGTGTGTGTGTGTGTGTGTGTGTTGGAGAGCATACGGCGCCCTTTTGTACGATTTAAAGTTATAATTTAGTCAGCCAAAATTCTAATTTCAAGAGGGGAATAGGCCCCCTATTGGTGCAATATAATTTTCAGAAACCGGAGGAGGGGGTCAGGACCCCCCCTGATCCCCCCTCTAACCGCCACTGGTTTTATTCTAGTGTTATCTTGACAAGCTTTACCCTAAAATATAGGTTTTTAATATACATCAACAACCAGACAAACCGTGTTTTTCTCAGTTCAACAGTTGTTCTTTATTTTATCTTTTTTCAGCCTCCTCGCCAATCTGCTGGCTTGTTATAAATAGGTCTTCGTAAAAACTTGCCTGAGTGCATGTACTTTTCAATGTCAGGGAGTTCCTTAAAGTAAAAAAAAAAAGAAAGCAAACCTGTTGTATTTTTGTGAGATAACATAAGGAATCTTATAGAATACTATTGAGATTTAATGCAATCCCATCTTTACTATATAGCAATAAATATATTTTTTTCATTTCTTTGGAAAAAATTAAGAAACTATACAGATGCGGGTAAGTCTCTAATGTCAATTAAAAGTTAGAATTACGTTTTGATAAAAAAGAAAACATTTACACTTATATGTATTTTAATATTAAAATATCTCACCTCAAAATTTACCATGTATTCAGCTATGTTTTTATAGCCGTCTAAACAGCCTGGTGAGAATACGCGATTGATGTCAAACAGATCATTAGCTATAAAGTCTAATAATGTTATCTGAAAAAAAAAGAAATTAAAACTTTTATCTGTAGAAAATGGATGGCCAACCTTTGGACTTATTTTCTGAGCTTACTATATGAATAATTTAAAGGTATCTTATTCGGTAGTTTTACGCCAAAATTAATTTTTCTTAAAAAAAAAAAAAAGTAATTTTCTCCTACTCTCGATCTCTCTCTCCACTTTGATTCGATGTTTTGAACCTTAATACTCCAATCAAATAGTTCTAAACACATCTCATTTACAAATTTTATTAACAAAGCCCTCCTGTCAGAAGGAAAAATGAACTTCAGATACAATTGAGAGAGAGAGAGAGAGAAGGAGAGACAGATCTTCTCCAGCCATATCAGCGTCATCTCAGAACATTTTACACCCGCTTCATTTCATTGCAGGCCGTAGTTGCAAAAAAAAAAAGTAATGTGACAAGTAATGTGACTTGTAATACAATGGTTTCAGAGGTTGGTTTGTTTACAATTAATCTCAACAGGATGACATAATTTCAGTCAATTAATGGCGTTACAAGATACGATCGAATCAAGACGGGAATTTTTAAAAATGATATCTTAAATTTATGTAAATGACACTTAAAACACAAAGGAGATCTAAATATTTGGTTTGATAGTAACACCAAAAATAAGGGGGGAAAGATATTAAAATAGTTCATTCGTCTATGAAGGCGGTAAAATGGACCAAACGTCTTTTCATGCATTTTCTGATGTCTCTTATCTGTTGTGGTTCATCTGTATTTCACTTGAAGAACGTCTTCAATCAAAGTATTTACAACATGACACTGCATGACTTTACTTTAAACTAATACACTGTATCTCCTTGCCAAAGCAAATTACTTGGAGGGTCCCATTGTGGGGGGAGGGTGAACACAGTTCAAGTACATAAATGTTGGTTAACAATGACGCCACAGAAGATCAAGAGATCGCTGCCCAGTGCCTGGCAACGGGACCTGTCGATGGCTTTTCGGTCCCTGGCTTGTTATAAAGCGTTTTATTTTATCAGTCAATAATTGGCACAAACAGTGTCCTATTCAGAACCACCTTTTGACGGTCTGGAACAAAACAGCATTGAAATTTGCGCATTAAGTAGCATCTTGGACGAATCGTTCAAGGTAGCTTTCAGCTAATCATTACGAAAGAACACCTCATGATATGTAAATCGAATAATTATTTACATGTAAAAAAATAAATGAATGAACGTCACAAGTCACGACGCGGACATATGAAAATGTGTTAATGCACAGTCTAAAATTTTAGTCTAATAGCAACAGAAACAACCGTGCAAATCTATTATATGTGTATCGACAGTACGGACTGTAGCTCAACATGATATGCCTCTCGTCCCCACCAAGATAAGACGATTGTGACTTTGGTCTCTCGAACAGGACTGCACATACGAAAACCTTTAAGACACAATCTGCTCACTGGCCTCAAAGAGAGCTGCAAGAGTACTATAGGCCAAAAAGAAAAGAAGATAGGATTTAATCAAGTAGGGTGATGGACAAATAGGAATGGGCTGTGCTGGCTCATCTTCATCTTATTTTTGTCGGTTTATATTGGATAATGAAGAGTAACCTGTAATCTATAATGGTTATAAACTTACCCTTATTTAGAGACAACCAACTTCCACTGAATTACTTAATAAAGGCATAGTTCATATTTAGTTTCCTCTGAAAATAATGTGTTGATTTACACATTTTGCAAACGTGTTATGAAAGCTCGAATGGCTATGTGGAAGAACGCATGCTGAATATATCACTCATTTTTGAATTTGAAATAAGTTATAATAAATAAAACATGGATCTGAAACAAAAATACACGAGAAAGCGACTTGATAAATTAATATTATTGTTATCACCTTGACGATGTTATGGGAATTTTATTGATTGTGATGGCTCACTGACAGAGAGAAAACGGGGTTACATGAATTATGAGAAGTCCAAAATACATAAACACATATGTTACAATTGACATTAGGCACTGACAGGGCGGAAAGATGTTACAATAATATAGCGATGAATAAATGATAAGGTTCTATTCCATGCGACATGCACGTAGAAAACACACGGTTTCAGTTTTATATACATCAATGAGATACCTGATGCAAAACAGTTCGTATTAGCGGTCTTTTGACTTACCACACCATCTGAACTTTTCTCCTAGGATTTTTCTGCTGTCACTCCATTCTTAGCAAATCAACAACAGGGTCAAGAACGGAGCTTTTTCTTGATTTGTCTGCCATGAGCATGGTGGCCCTAAGACTGCTTATTGTCGGAGTTACTGTAATATTTTTAGGTAAGTTTGGCAGAAACAAAATGCACATCCATTTTTAGTTGCAAATAATAATAATAATAATAATAATAATAATTGATATTGTTGATATCTTTCCACGGCAGGTACAACACTATGCAGAGGTTGCACGCAGAATTTAGCCAAAGGCAAACCCGCATACCAAAGTTCCAACTACCAAGATGTATACGGAAATTTGTTCCATGCCAGTCGTGCTGTGGATGGCAACTATGACGACTACGTGTTTCGTGGGAGTTGTTCCCACACCAAAGGTGGTCATGGAGAATGGTGGCTGGTGGATTTAGAAACCACGGCGAGGGTGGTCGGTGTTATCATAACAAACCGTCGCGACTGCTGCCGTAAGTATTGCTTTTATATTTTGTATTCATTATCAATTTATTTCCTCAAATAGTGACACTTTATCAATCGTGTGTTTGTGTACCTTTTGAGGTTTTTAATCACTGATCTGGTCTTTAAACTGCCCCAACATGTAGGCCTAAATGGCAAAATGTAAAGTCAAATTTAACAATTTGTCACTTTTTGTTTTCAGCTGACCGTCTGAATAATTTCGAAGTGAGAGTTGGAACCTCTTACGATAATAGTTCATCATTCACCCAGTACAAACTTTGCGCCAGTTATCCGGAGGTAGCACCTGTGGGGAACACGTCTCTGTCCTGTGAATCACCGCTGACAGGACGATATGTCTTGATCATTAAAGTTGGTAGTGACGACCAAGCATTGCAGCTTTGTGAAGTGGAGGTCCATGGTGAGTTTATGCGTTCATCAAAATCACAGGCGGGCCTCAAGTATTTCACGTTGTTTATTTGTTAATACATGTATATGTGTTTAAAGGCTGTACTATTAGCTAAAATCTATAAGACCGACAAATTTTATAATTGATTTAATGTCGACAGTCCCTTTGAAGCTATTAATGTTTTATTCATTATTATTATTTTGTACAGGTAATACAAGTTAAAACACGTTCCAGCAGGTAGCAGCAGATGCTCGTGCAACCCTTGGTCCCCTGTTCACGCTGAATGTCCGCAGCCTCACTGAATGCAGTATCTCCTGTGCGGACCGCTTTAAGTGTGTGGCCATAAACATTTTCTGTGCTGGAAATAACCAATGTGTATGTGAACTTCTGTCCAGCACTGCCCAATCCAGAGACTTTTAGGCAGGCACTGGATACGAATATTATGAAGACAACTGCCTGGGTACAGTGTAAGCCGAGACTGTCTAATTGTTGTGAATAAATCACTTACAGAATACTCTAGGGAAGCATTCATGAGTTCGTTACATAAACACGTACTCCAGGGCCGTAGCCTGAGCAAAATGCCAGGGGGGGCAGTAAGGGGACACGAGGGGGCAAAGCACCCGAGGGGGTGGGGTGGGTGTGGAAAATTTTTTAAAAACTGTATGTATAATACTGCATTCTGGTGCATTTTAACTGTTATTTATTGCTCAATCAGAAGTCAAAAATTGTGGGTTCATTTTGCCATTTTGCCATATTTGCGCCTCAAATCCCAGGGGGGGCAGCTGCCCCCCCTGCCCCCCC